GACAAACTTGCAGCTATAAATCAGTGAAACTCATTTCATTTTAAAGGCACTGTGAGGAGTAAATTACGTGAGGTCCTGACCATAGTCTGTTACAAGAAGTTGTTGTTATGTGCAAAAGAAAGCTGTTTTAACTTAAGGGAAACAAGTTGCCTCTGTGAAGATAATTATGCTGAACAATTTAATGAAACTTTTCCTTTCGTTTTGCTCATTAGTTCGTGATGTTCAGCCCTCCCTGAGGGCGCTTCTCCTTGACAATGATGCACAGTCTCTGTTCCCAGAAAGGTTGATAGCAATGCTTGCGTACTTTTCAACATAGTTTCCCAGACTGGTTAGCGACGACGAACGCGAGTATTAGGTGATAACATCATTAGGACTATGCACAGAATGTTTGTGGGCGGGTTGCGGTCAGCTAATAAGCCGAGAACCATTCGGGTTGTCATAGATAATGGCGACGGTTGATTAATAGGTTCCAGGAGCTGACATATTGCGAGAGTGATGAGTGTAAACGTTTATCTAAAACGACTACGCTGGAAAAATGTTTGGATAACATATTTTTGCAACAGTCTTTTGCAGCGTTGATAAGGCTGAATTATTATGTTGATGTGAGCACATTTTTTTCCTGCACCACTTAGTTTTTTTTAACAACAGTCCAAGTACTTGCGTCTTTTGCTGATGGTCGTTAGGATGGGTTGGAGTGGTTGGATCGCTTTCTCTGCTCTTTTTTTCTCAAATGCCAATGCCACAGTATTGCAGGCTAAGACATGGCAAAACAATGTGAAATGGTTTCTTACGTTATGCTATACTCTCACCAGTGTGAACTTCACGCATCCAATTGTCATTCATTCCCACTCTTTTCCTACCAATCTGATCAGTTTCCTTTTGAGGTGTTTACCCATTGAGGGAGTTACTGTTTTCACATTTCCTGATTGATCCGCGCTATTCAAAATTCCGGACCAGCGGAATATTTAGCGAACCCGTCAACAGTTAAAATTAAGGGTTTGATAGGTCGACCATCGACGGACTGGCTGCAAAGACGGAGGATGGGGCGGAACTCTGTAACCAGATAACTTGATAAGGGCAACTGATGGGACTATCGTATCCCAGTCTTGAGAATTCTGAAGGCAAATAATAATAAGTCACTTTCGAGTTGAATTTGAATAAAATCTGGTACACTGTGTTATCTGATCGCACAGGAACGTAACAATTTGAATTCCCCAGACTAAAGACACTTTTGCTGTACCTCCTGATTCTGGCCAAGCTTTTGCGTAGCAACCATCACCTCTGGAATGGACTGGTTCCTTTGTGCCCTTCTTATCCATTGAGAACAGTGTATTGTTGCAAGGCGTCTCTTATAGCTAAGCAAAAGCTTGCCCCGAATCACCAGGTATAGCAACGGTGGTTTTAGTATGGAGAATTCAAGTTGTTATTTTCACGTGAATTTAAAGAACTGAGTGTACAAGATTTTGGAAACAATGGAAATGGTTGGGAGCTATTGAAAAGGTTGCGATGAGCTTTCACTAAGAAGATGCATCTGGGACGAGTTTTATGAGTAGAAAGGCTGTGCGTTTAAATTTGGGCGTGATCGCACATCATCCAAAAGATTTTCAACTGAGTGAGGTTTAGTGGAAGTTTTCCGATCGCGATTACCTTGGAGTACATCGTACTCTGGCAGAAACAGGCCTAGTGGGAGGTTGCCTCATTTTGCTTTGAAGAGGATGCTTCGAGTAAACTTTGACAAAATGGTTTCTCTACCGAACGGGCTCTTACATTACCCCAATAAACTGAACAATAACATAACAAATAATGAGTCAACCCCCGATCACCTGAAGATAAGAAGACATTGAGTATCTTTATTCAAAGTCTGTGAATGTTGGTGGCTTCTTCCATAGCGATTGTCGGGAAATCCTCCGTGATCGGTCCACCTTCTGTTGATGGTTTGCACACAAGCCGGCCAGGAATGCCACCTTAATCCAAGATGAAAAGGTCTCTGACTGACGCGTCCGGTCAATCTTTGATCTGAAGATCAGGGATGCGGCAGGGCAACTGACATTGTTAGTCAACCCCCTGAGGGGTTATGCCACCGTGTATTGGAGAGGTGTGGTATGTCGTAATCCCCGGGTAACCTCTGCAGGCGACAGGGTCACACTAGTCGGAATCGATATCACTTAGTCTAGCCGGAGCTCTAATTAATCCCGGCTCAGCTGCTGGGTTTAGTTGTACTTGTAGCCCACTGTTAATTACAGAGATAATACCTGTCCGGTCCAGCGTTACCCTTTCACCCGTCAAAAACCATCCTGGGGTAATCATTAGCTCATTTGCTATCAGAGGGGTCTTTCGAATTAGGTTGGACAACTGGAGCCTTTTTGCGCACATTTTTCTCGGAGATCAATAAGATACCTAGTCAAAGCATTGGCTTCAGGGATCCCCCTGTATGTATCTGAGAACGTCTTTTCCGTGTTACCATGGAGTTTTATGCCGCCAATGGTATTAAATTTTGCAATAAATAGGCAAGCTGCACTGGTCCACTCGGTTTATCAATGAGGAGCTTGTTGAAAAGTTACAATACAACGTGGTTTAGTTACTTGCTCTCTAAATGACAAGTCGAAACTCACTCTTAATAAAAAAAAGAGTGTTCCATTATAATATTACCTCTGCATAGGAGTGAAAACCTGTCTAAAAACAATACAGTGAATGTCCACTTTTTGAGGAGCCATAATTATAAAGACATCAAAAATGCCACACCTTTGGACTACATGTACAGAATGACCCAACTGCATCACGTGACCAAGCTATAATGTTTTTCAAAGTCTCCATGGTTACACCAAATAGCGAGACCTCTATGGTTTTACCCTCATGCATAAACAGAGCATAGCTTATCATTGGTCACAGAGAAAAAAACCGCAACCGAAAAACCGAAAAAATACAAATGTGCACGACCCTGGTCAGTTTAATCGGCTCGATATGTTCCGTGGTAAGCACAGAGGTTTGTTATAAATTACCAGCGTTATCTGCCCGCTGTTATCGATAAGTAAATCCCTTTTATTACGGCTGATTACAACCAGACCAGCCCACGCTCCCACCCCCTCCCCAAAAAAGGACACCTGAGGCGCGGAAGTTGGCATCGGCATTCTTGGCCACAGATTGGTTTTTGTCTCACTTGACCCATGAACCGATCAATAATTAAACCCTTTGAGAAAAATCCCTCCACATGTTAGAAGCAAGGAATCTCGTTGGAGATGGGCTCTTCATGGTCTCATGGAACAATCACTTACCCATCTTTCCAAAACACCCCATTTGGAATTGACTAAATGGCAAAATTTAGCTCGACAACTACAACAGGTAAGATTCGTCCAGGTAAGGTTCATTTTACTGGATGAGAAATCTATCAACACTACTGACTCCACTGCAGGCTGAAGCACCGGCTGTCCATCGACTGACCGGTAGATGACCGCATACCACATGTACCTGGTTCAGCGACCGTTTGGATGGCCGGTTAACAAAAGACAAGACCGATAATCTCCAAGTCACACAAGTGACGTGTCGCACCAGGCGTTCAATACATTATGTATATCACCTGGGTCACTTTTCCAAGTATCGGCCGATAAAGTTCTTTTGTGGGCGGTCAACTTAAAAGACTAGACTTGTGGGCCGATGGGAAGAGAATTTTTGTGGCCTGATTATTGGAGTTCTTTTCTGTAGTTTGCAGGGTAATGAATCGAGGTTTTGGATAGACGGGTAGAAGTGAATGTTAAAGGGTGGGCAAAAGGTTAGTGCAAAATCGATTTCCGAAGATTATTGGAACGATGGAGGGTGTGACATAGTTGACGCTCACAGGAATAGTTTGAGAAATGAAATCCAACACAGAGATGGTGATGATTTCTGAACGACTTTAAATTGCCTCAGAGCACATAGAACGCATTGAGACGAAGGGAAGTTTTTCGTTTTTGTTCCTATCTGGGGAAAAGCCGACTTTTGCTTATTGCCCGCTACGAAAAATTAATTGTAAGTAGAGGAAGAAGGGAATGTAACATGACGGGAAAATACCTTCATTCATTCCAACTACAACACAGCTGTGGCAATTTCTCAAATCACGGAGTTCGACAAGAGCATGACTAGAGTTTCAAACAGATGCGTCCCTGCTATCCCAATCGCCCAATTAAAAATTGCTAACAGGTGCGTAACTAGGCGTCCATGAGCAGGGCTTCTTTTGTAACAAGCGCCTACAGGGAAGGAAGAAGTTCCACTTTATTCATTGACACAAATGTTTCTTATTAGATGTCTCCCCTTCCAAGGACGGAGAGCTTTAGGCGAGAACAGTGATAAAAAAAAGTTTTGTTTTTTATAATCCCTACTTCTATGAAGCAGTCTTTTGTGTGGACTAGATATCTGAGTGCCCCTTGGCCGTTGTTCCTGGTCCATTTGAGCAGATTCACACGGATTAGTGATTGGTCACCTACCGCGGTGAGGCACCGGAACATTTCAAGAGTCCGATTTGTGAACTTCAGGTGGATGGGACGAGCAAATCATTCAGTGAACATGCCATTTTGATGACCGAGAAGAATTTTTTAGATGAACACGTGACGCTCTTTCAGGAAAAACACACACACACTTCAAAAAACAATCTATGGAGTAAAAAAACGTTTCTGTGGAAAAAAAATTAGTGAATAAATCGGGCAAAGAGTCCGATTTCCTTTTTCTTTTTTTTTTCTTGTACAATTCACAAAACTGCGAAAACTGTATGTGTGTAAGCACTTGTGAAAGTAAACTTCAGGGAGGGCACTCTTTACGATTTTCAGAGTGGATTTCATTATCACAAGAGGGCGCACTTCAATATTATTGTGCAATGGATGATTTTTTCTATCACAAGAGGGCGTCCTTCAACGTAAATTTGGAAATGTGAAGAGGGCGCTCTTTGATGGGCCCGTTGATCTCCATTGAATGGGCGCTAAATGGTAGAGGGCGCACTTGCAATTATACTCTATCAAAGGAGGGCGGGCTTTGAAGAAACAAGATGGCTGCTCCCATGTCAACTGTGTTGCGTCGTTTACCGGTTGTCGTAATATTAGGGGCAACTGGAACGGGAAAGTCAAAGTTAGCCATACAGATCGGTGAACGCTTCGGTGGAGAAATTATCAGTGCTGACTCAATGCAGGTGATTTTTGCCACGTAGGCCTACATGTGTTACACAGGTCTGAAGGTTGCCCCCAGAATTATGGGGTCGGACGTCGTACCCCACAGTTCTGGGGGTAGGCTAGCTACATGTATGTGGTCATGCCATGGTCGATGTACATGTAGGCTAGGCCTATACTAGCCTCTAGCTTATGACCAATGTGAAATTAGTTGCTCATTCAACACTCACTGTTGAACAAGTAGGCCTAACTGTTTGATACTCCAACATTGAATAAGTAACTGTTTGATATTCAGGGTGCACACCCCTTGCATTGATGGAGTGCAAAAGGGACATAACAGTGCCACCATGTACATCCATTCACATGTACCTTAATTTACATTGTAGGCCTACATTCCATTTTCACAATGATGTATTCATACACAACTTTCTCCTTATGAGGCAACCCAGGGCATGGGGTTTTTCGGGGTCAAACAAGCCCTAAAATGTAGTTAAGACTTCCTTTTTTACAGCCTTGTTTATAGAATAGAATAGAAATTCAGAAATTCATAAAAAGTACAAATAATAGAAATTACTTGACTGCTCGCTAAGTAAAAACCTAACATACATATATATCTAAAATATTCACAAAAAGCACAATGTATTCTTGATTCAGTTAGGTTAAGATTAAAAAAAACACAAACTATATATATTTGAAATTTATTTAAAATTCCCATTTAGCTACCTGACTGCAGTGTTATAAAATGAGCGGTTTAATCGGTTAGTGCTTCCCTGAATTGATCTGTATTTACGCCTCATCATTTGAAAGAGCTCAGTGGCCGGATGAGACTCGTCTGCAGTAATGGAGTGAGCACGTGCCAATGTTCACTGTTTATAAATCTCCTCAGCCGAATTCATTTCAATACCAATGATCTGTGATGCTGTATTTACAACACAAGCTATTTTCCTTCTCTCGTCAACAGTAGTGCTTCCATACCAAACAGTAATAGAGAGTGTCAGAACACTCTCAATGACGGCACGATAAAACATCTTGAGAACAGCAATGCCAACAAACTGCGAAATTTTCTCAAACGGCGGAAAAATACAATCGCTGCTGAGCCTTTTTTACACAGTAATCAACGTGTTCAGCCCACCCCAAAGAGTTAGAGATAAAAATACCCCAAAATTTGAATGAGGGCGTCCTCCCTACTTCAGTCCCATTGATAAAAAGCGGCAGAACTTGATGATTCCCAGACCGAAAATCAATCATATCAATTATATTACTTGTATTATGTACTTGTCTTTTTATTTTAATGTGGAGTGAAATGGATAATAATAATAGTAATCCTTTTGTTGGCCATTTTGAAGATGTTCAATGTAAAAGCTCCCAGCAGTCATCTTGTATAACCTGAATAAATTATGTGAGTGATATGATTAACATTAACCCTGAGGGACCATTGAAATCATGCATATGCCTCTTGGATTCAGAATGGTTAAGGCTAAAGTTAGTCACAAAGATCTGGACCCCTTCCTCTCATTAGTGAGCCATAACAAACATTCCATCCACAGTGTTGCATTGATATGTAGGCAATTAATACTGCCTGGCAGGTTCTATCTCTGTTCAGTGCAGAAATACCGATTGCCTCAAACAGTAGAGATGACACAAAAAGACTGGAATGATCAGAAGGCAACATACTGCATATTTCTGTTACTGATTGTTCAATTTGCTCTATGTACTTTGTATTTGGTGCATTGATACGGTGTTGTTAATTTTACTAGGTTTACAAAGGCCTGGATATTATCACCAATAAAGTAACCCCGTGTGAACAGCAAGCATGCCCTCATCACCTTATTGATTTTCTCAGTCCATTGAGTCGGTACACCGTAGTCGATTTCCGCAACAAGGCTCTCCCAATCATAGAAGGTCTACTGATTGCGGGAAGAGTACCGGTGATCGTTGGTGGAACCAACTATTACATCGAGGCTCTGCTGTGGAGAGTGTTGTTGGATGCAGAGGTAAAATATGAAAGAATGAAAGCAAGCTTTGAAATCAGAAAGGGAAGGTGGCACAATCCCTGTCATGAATAAAAACTAGATTAGTGAGCTACATCACTGCAAGCTAGAAAGTTACAAAGAACCCACTTTCTATAACTTGCCGTCTTTTTCCCATCAACTATTTAGTGCCCCCCAATGTTGCTTTAAACCCATTCAAAGACATTTTATGAATGTCAACAATTTACATCTCTTCACTTGAATTAGAGAAGTATCCTTCCCAGATGATGGTCAGTGTTGTATCTTTTTCATAGCACTCAAAGATTGATGACTTGCTTCTAGAGACAAGAGGAGATCCACTGAACCTACACATCAAGAAGAAAGTAAAACACTCACACGCAGACCTTGCTACTAACAAGGGGCAAAATCTAAGCCCTACCCTCAGTTCCTCCAAGATTGCCAGTGACGCAGAGAAGTCTTTGAGCCTTGTTGATTCAGAGGCTTTGGTTCAAAGTGAACCCCCTGCCTCAGAAAACAGACCAGCTTTGCGCTCATCAGGACTTCCCGAGGGTAAACCTGATTTAATCCCAGACATAGGGCTTGAGAAAACTGATGGAAGGCTATTAACAGAGGAGAAAAGACCAGGCAGGCTAGCTGAAAAAGTGCACTGTGATCAGCGGGACACTTCACATTTACAGTCAGTGGATCAAACAGGCCGAGAAAGTGAGATCAGTCAGCCTAAGAAAAGTCTCTACGTGGACAATACAACTGAAGTGTCGGCCAAGGGATCCTGCAGGTTACAGCATGAAGAGGTTCTGGAACAGGAAGAGTTGATGACAATTGATGTAGAAGGAACAGCAACAGAGGATCTCTACAAGATTCTAGCTGAGGTAGACCCTCATAGGGCAGAAACATTGCATCCAAACAACAGACGCAAGATAATCAGGTTAGACTCAGGTTTATTCACTCATCAAAGTGCACTGGCTCATTTTAAATAATGTACCCAGTATTGAGCCAAAGAGGAAAGAGTTTGGCATAGCAGTGTGTCCTTTGGAGTTGTTGGTTCTGGAACATGTCTCTCCATTTTGTGTTTTTGTTTCCACTTTGTACAGTTTAAAGGCTGATCACAGTGTTTTATCCTCTGACAGGAGTCTTCAAGTGTATGAGCAGCTGGGTCAAACTCACAGCGAGATGCTCTCTGGTCAGATGGAGGAGGAGGGAGGCGGGCCCTTGGGTGGTCCTCTCCGCTTCCAAGATGTCTGCATCCTGTGGTTGCAGTGTGATCGAGATGGTACGTGTCCTTGAATGGTTTCTGCATTTTCAACGTGGTGTTAGTCACGTTAAGACCTTCTGGGAACAAAATACTGACTACTAGAAGCACCAACACACACCTGATCCTTGCCAACTGTTTCTATGGTTCCAAGTTAGAAGAGGCTGTGTCCAAAACAGGCTTCCTGAGCCAAAGCTTGCAGCAGTGGACAAAGACCTAGACCTGCCTCTAGACACCAAATTCAGATTTTGCTAGAAGTACTCTTTCTTTCGTGTTAAGCCTTCCTGGATGAAGCTCACATTGGCATTTCACTTAGTTCTTCAATCTGTATCCAGCTTTGGCCCATGAGTCCTTTGTGTTATTTTATCTTCAGCACTGGATCAGAGACTGGATGTAAGAGTCGATGACATGCTGAGCAGGGGTCTTCTGGATGAACTGTCTGATTTTCATCGCGAGTACAACCGTCAAAGAGTAGAAACTCAAGCAGATAGGTAGGTTGCTGACAGTATAGTAGGAAGAGATATCTTGAGACTTGTGTCAATTTTGTATCACGCAATTAAAAATAATAGCTGCTAAATCTTACAATTGTTGTGATTCACAAAATAATATTTCCACCATTTCAAGATATTACGCTTGATAATTCTGTGTGTACTGGCTTTCCTAGGCCTCTTTGAATGCAGTACGTTGACGTTGACGTTGACACTTCTAAGATTAAAGATCAATCACATTGCTTTTATGAGAAAAAGATTATTAAACAGGAACCAATTATTAATTCCCGTGAAATGACTAATGTGGTAGCTTCTCTTCGCATTTATAAAAAAAATTCATCTTTTGAGAGTTCAGTTCTACCACAAGAATACTCCGAGTAAAAAACATGCGTGGATGAGGGCGGTTTGATGGAGTCATAATACTGCTCTCGTTCCTTGGAGTATTTTGACCTTGTGGCTGTAATAGGGGGCTTTATAGCACAGGAACAGAGAAATAAAGGGTAAAATAAGTTGGATGTCATTCTCCGCAAATGACCACAGCCATCTGCCTGAAATTCAGCATGACCTTACTCTGGTTCAAATTGGGATGGTTCGACTTGAACATACGATCCAGTGTTGATCAGATCCACATTGTCGATGTAAAAGCAATTCCAAGTCCATCTCATTCTTTGACTTCTGGGGGGGGGGAACTTCTGCTGAATAACAAAAATTACTCAAGTCTATTTTTCAAAGCTCCTTTTGGTTTGGTTTCCTCAAACTCTTGTCAGTGAGAGCCTATACACCCAAGGGATCTTCCAGTCCATAGGATTCAAGGAGTTCCATTCCTACCTCATCTTGCCAGAACAACAGCGGGAGACAGAGATGGCTAAGAACCTTCTTGGGGAGGGGATTGAGAAGCTGAAGATGGCGACCAGGCAGTATGCACGCAGGCAAATCAGATGGATCAAAAATAGATTTGTTAGACGTGAGTTTAATAAGCTACAGTTGGGTCATTTTCAGAAATTACCCAATTTATGAAGACTTCATTTTTTTGCAATTTAATGAAAGGTTTCAGAGGTTTAGCTTTTATGTCCAAGTATCTGAAAGTCCTTCAAATTCATTCATGTGGGTCTAGATTTTTCTCCATCAATTGATTTTTTCCCAACCTTCATTCCTTTGGTAGCTCTGCTACTGGTTTTGATGAAATTTCTCTTAACAGCAAAATAGATCAACATCTTTGCATAACCTCTCTTTTTGATGTGACTTCTATTGCATTTTTCTCGGCAGGGCCTGGAAGCAATGTACCTGCGGTGTATGCCGTGGATTCCACTGACCCTGCATCATGGGATGAGAAGGTTCTCCGGCCATCCCTGGCCATAATCGAAGCCATCCAGGAGGTGAGTCGGACTGGGGCTGCACCGTTCAGAGTTGAACGCTGAGCTTGAAAGCATTACAAATTAAAATGACAAAGCTTTGCAGAGAGCACGAGAGAGCCACTGAAGAGTTTGCACTGGAGCATTTCAAACCATGCAAATAAAGTAGATGCTTTTTGTGAGGATGTCTTCTTTGATGTTTGTCTGCAGGGCAAGGAACCTCCTGTGGCACCCCTGGAGCCTGAAGTAGGGAGGCCCTCGGATGATGCCTCTGTCAGGCACATCTGTGATATCTGCGGAGGGAGAGTGTTTGTGGGGAAGCAGCAGTGGCTTGGTGAGTAACCATTTTCAAGTCAGATTTCAGATCTGTTTTCCCCCTGAATTGTTGACTTGAGCCTTAACCAATCTGTCGAGACGCAGTCAAGGACTTGAGACTAATTGTGTCCTGTCACCACAATTAAGGTGGAAATCGGAATTTTCAAAAATTGAGATATTGGTATGTTTGAATTCAGCAGAAAGAGAACTTTCCAATGATATGTACACGGAACATTTTGGGTAAAAGTATAATGTGACATTTTTCTGGCAGCTTTGCATCTTTATTTCTAACATTGTTTCAACATTTCTGACCGAGCACAAATATCATTGAAATTGCTAACAAAACAATGACATTTTTATATTTCTGATCCTGCAAAAAAAAATGGAATTAAATAGACGGGTTACTCTTTCCAAATATCAAAAACGCCAAAATGTGAATCTCTTCTAGAGACTGAGATTTTCTACCTCAGATTGTAGGCTTAATCCGAGACTTCATACTAATTCTGACTAGTCCTGGAACTTGGAATTTGATCCCACACTCAAAGAATGATCAAAGTCTTGTAACTGTAGGCTTGCGACAAGTCTTGGTACATGAGACAAGACTTTAGACGTTGGCCAAGATTTGAAAGTCTACCAAAGGCTTAGGACCATGTTAGATGCCTGAAAAAAATTGGGATATGGGGAATGAAAGCAAAAACTTTGGAAATTGTGGCAGGTGTCTCCTGTTTTAGCAGAATGCCAGTTACTTTTTTTTCTTGAAATTAATTTGATTTCGGTTTAGCTATTTCTTCCCAATCCATCCTGAGCCCCTGTTTTTAATCTGTGCCTGGAATACCTCAAGATAGTTAACCTCATGCCCCCTTGGCATGTCTTTTCCAAAATAGGGCACTTGAAGTCGAAGCGACATTACAAGAAGTCTCGGAAACTCAGACTGGCATCCCTTGGGAAATCACATGAAGAGAAGACAATATCCACAATGGAAAAAGCAAACACTCATAGACAGGAGGATAAAAAGCAAGACATCGGAGATGGATAACATTTCATCCTGAGAACACAGATTGTCAGAAATATTGTATATTATCAAACTCGAGATTTTTGATGACTTTACGGCTTACAAGTCAATATTATCAATCTAAAAAAAGTTTTTTTAAATCTTGGCCATTTAATTAAAATATATTTTTAGGAATGGAGATTCAGATACGTTTCCACAAGAGCTTTCGCAACTTCTCATAATTAACTTTGTAGTCGTAAACGACAGCTCAGTAGATGAGTCACAGTGCTATAAATACATCTAGACCTTAATAGATACAGCAGAGAGGCAGCATTTCTTACGGGTCTAGCTCCCATCATATCAATAATTGTTGCATACCACGATGATATCTTACACGGACCATGATTGTTTTTTATTTCATCAGAGGGTATTGATATTTCTGACCACGTGATATTTGACAGATATTTGGCAAATTCTCCAATGGAAGTTGACTTACATTCATGATTAAAAAATTCATTACTAATATAAAAGCTTTTAATGAAAAGGAACGATATCAAAAGATTTTTGAGTTGCATCATTTTGTGAATTTTAATTTCAAGTTAGTATGATTATATCTTGTTAGTTCACAGTACATTGGCCATTTTGCAACCTGTTTCCCAATGACATTGCAATAACTGCACTTTAAGACGTCCGATCCCTGTCAAGAGATGCCAGACTGTGTTAGATTTCCTTTTCCTCTCTTTTCCATCAGACCACATAACCCAGTAATACAGCACAGCTTGCCCTCATGAAAGATAGACTGACATGCCAGCAAATTTACATTATGGCTCCTCCCAGTAGATAACTACACCCTAAATTTGTATCTGCAGCTTCAAAATGTTTTTTATAACCGGAGGGTTGTCCAATGGGCACAGCAGCCACTGTGCCAAGGCCTGCAAAATAATTCGGGGGCTACGAAAAATTTGAGGGCCGAGAGAGATACCACAGCGCCTCCCCCCCTTCAATATTGGAAAAACTAGCTACATGTAGTACATTGTACATAGCTGACATAGCTTAAAATCAACATGAAATGTTAATGCCAGGCTCCAGTGCTCATCAGCGCTGTGAAATTGGTGCTTGTGGCTATGAGTGAGTACACTGTAGTAAGGCCAACGGTATATAAAATCCGGCCTGGCTGCCACCAGGTAGACTTGCTGGTAGGCTTTTCTCTGTTGTTGTCGTGTGACATCGCACAGTAAAATGTGCCCACCATCACAAAAAACGAAAGTGATATCTGGATGAGGTTGGTGACCTACTGGAATATTCAGGGCCAATACATGATGACCTGTGGATGGGTTGAGCATAACTATATCATTACAACTTGCGCAAGGGTTGAACGAGTAATTTCGGTGGAAACAAGAGGACCGGACTTTTTTTTCTCTCAGACTGGTCGGACACGATTATGGGATCATTCAGCAGAAAGGTTGCCCTAATTACAGGTAAGAACACACAACATGCTAATTCAATGCGATGCTTTTTTATCATTTGAATGAGCGTCATACACATCCCAAATTACGATATAAATAGCAACAGTGTCCGTTTTTCTGCTTTTCGTCACGTAAGTTTTGCTCCTTCACTAATTTGCAGTGAATGGATCATTATAGGCCCAGGATTTGATCTGTTCATTTTGCAGGTGCCAGTTCGGGGATAGGGGCTGAGACGGCCGTTCAGCTAGCTTCACTGAGTTGCCAGCTTTCCCTGACCGGACGCAGCGCAGAGAAGCTGCAGAAAGTGAAACAACAGTGCGTCGAACGTGGCCTTGCAGAGGACTTGGTGAGCCTTGGGTTTTAACTAAAGGATTTGGCAATTCCTGAAACATATTTTTTTTTTAAAGAATATAGGCAGTTTCCATGCCATTTTAGGAGAAATTTGCTGAAAAGACATTCGTTTCCCTTCTCAACTGTGCAATTTGAGCCTTTGTTTCGAGGTAAATATCTTCGTGGGACACGTCAGGATATTTTCAAAGTCAGTTTCTCTAACCCCAAACACAGTCATTTTGCCAACAGTGTTGGGATGATTCCGAGAGGAGTCCCAACTGAGTGCTCCCTGATATACCTCTCACAGTTCAATCGTAATGTTCTTCACAGGTCCTGCTGTTGCCAGGCGACCTTACAGAAGATTCCTTCCTGGAAAAGATAGTAGAAAAATCATTGGAGCACTTTGGATCTCTCGATATTTTGGTGAGTGGTACATGTAAATTACGCCTTTTTTTCTGAAAGCTGAAAATAATCATGAGGATTCTCTTGTTTACTCCAGTTTTCCCGTCGTCCAGTTCTTTTTCTCTGTGTTTTTTTTTTGGGGGGGGGGTATTTTTTTCACTTTTCCAAGTAGATGCCCTAGAAGGCCTGTAGCAGACAGCTCTGGCAGTCTGACAATCTTTCCTGTACGTGAAGTTAAACTTTTTCTGTGACGTCACTCCGTTGTTCAAAGTCTAGTTATTTTTACGACTTTACAGTTATTGTAGATTCGTAACGACGAGGTGGTAACCCTCGTACCCTCCCCCTCATTTCGGTCAAAATAGCAGGAATCTACAGTTCCTCGTCCATTCTCTATGACAGAAACTTGAATTATCTGTTGCTTCGCTGTAATTGTTTCGTATTTTGTCAGATAAACTGTGCTGGTCAGCCGCATTTAGGAACCTTGGAAACATCCACCATGGATAAATTTGATGAGATTTTCAGTGTTAACTTGAGGGCACCGTTCATCTTAACACACCTTGCCCTCCCACACCTAATACGATCCAAAGGTTGGTATTAACATTCGTAGTTTTGTAATTACCATTTCTTTTTGACATCAACCTAATATTGTTGTTTTTGAGTGTCTCGGAATTGCAGGATTTTTAACATCTTGTAATGGTCTCCTTTCCAGGTGTTGTTGTCAATGTTTCCAGCTGTGTTAGTATCACTGCCGTAAGTAAATCGTTCTGTTAGCAAACACAAAAATTGACGCCAATAAGGAAGTTTACAATTTTATTCTCTGGTAAAGGTGATATTTATATTGCTGCAGCCTGATTAAGCTTGGAGAGAGACATTTTTGACAGAAGAGATAAAAATCAATGATCGGTTGAACTGGATCCAGGGACATCTTTTCATGGAGTCATGATAAATTTTGATACCTCGATCCCTGCTGTATTTGCTGAATGGAGGAGAACTTTTTCATGGGAGGTGGAGGAATGTTCTTTGCAGAATTGCGCGAGAAATTGCGGTTACTTTAAAGAGGAAGAGCTCAGATTGACAGTTTTTTTCTTTGTGCACTTAAACCGCAGCATCCGAGCAGCCTGGTCTATAGTATGTCAAAGGCAGGAATGGACGGCCTTACGTACACCACATCTGAAGGTATACTTGATTGAATGATCACCAAATGTTCAAAGCCTGCTGTGCTCTGTTGAAACTCCAGACCTTTTTTTTCAACTTGACCTGTACATGTACTATATGAATAAAATGATAGCAATGACGTTTGTGCCTTCGAGAAAGCTTTTTGGCTTGTAGTATCTGGTCTGAAGTATCAATTTTCCCATCTTTAACTTTCAGAATACGCTGAACAGGGGGTGCGCGTCAATTCTGTGAAGTAAGTGATATTTCACACGAAAACTGTTTTTCGTTTCAAAGAGGGTGAGGGGTTGCAACACAATTTTGAGGGAAATTTTGTATTTTGGTTTTTTCCTTATTTTAAAAAACAAATCGTGCCTTGCTTGTTTTCAGTCCTGGTGCTACTATGACGGCACTTTTCGACCGAAATGGAGCTGAAATTGACAAGGTATGTCGTGCCTGGTCTTCGTGTCGTATCTCTTCCCCCTCCCATCCCTGTGATGTAAGTGCCCCACAAATCAATATGCTCAAAATTCTAATTAACCCTGTCACATCATAAAAAAATCTTTGCGGTAATTCAAATCATTGACTAGTTCCGATTTTTCCCCAGACCCAAACATCAACAGTTAAGGTGCCATCCTGGCCTCATCCCGGCCAATGAAACGATAAATTAAGCACCAAAAAACTTGGAAACATAAAATAGGCCCCACTTAAACCTGTGCCTAATCTAAAATAGGTGATTGAGTTGAGTAAGAAGCGCCATCCACTGGGTCGGCCTGGCAAGGCTTCGGAGGTTGCCAAGGCAATTGTATTCCTTGCCTCGGATTCAGCTGCCATGGTAAGCGGCTGCTGCTTGGGTGTCGACGGAGGGCGCTCTGTACGTCCCGGCGCGCCACTCGTGCCGACGGAGAACGATCCGGGCGTGAAGTTTCCGGTGTGAAATAAAAACAACATTGGATAATGATGACGACTTCAGACAGCCCTGTTGTTCACGGCAGTTCATATGTATGAGATATCATTCCTTCTAAGGTGCCCCCCTTGCCTTTATTTTTCTCTAACGGCTTCTTAGTTACCTCGCAAGTCACCTGGGCTCCAATATCCTTGGAGCGTACTTGTTCTGTTGTTGAAAACGCGGGGAAAAGGGAAAAGCGAAAACTGACGTGCTTATTGAAATCTTTGCTGTACTTCAGCACCGAGTTTTATGTGTGGTCCCCAGGAGGTATCTCCCCATTGTTGCAGATGTGCAGTGTAAGTGTTCGCAGAAGCTTGAAACTGCACGTCTCGTCATTCTGTTAATTCCTAGTGCCATAAATTCCAGTGCTAGAAACCAGTACATTATGACATACGTGTAAATGAAACTACAGGCTGGGGAAAGTCCCTTCAGGATTTTCTAAGAGGGACGAACACAGTGATAACTACTTTATGACGTCACATGCCATTACATCATCCACAGAGCAAGGACACATACATCATATGACTGTATTTTATTACAAAATCTCTAAAATAAAATCTCAAATTTACGGAAATAAATTTTGATGCTTAGAGTCGATTGAAATCGTGGTCTTTACAACAGTATTCTAAGGAAGATTCGCGATTTCTTTACGCACAAAAAGTACCAAAATTCAATCGTTCTATCTCGTGAACTAAGGACAGCATTGTAGCATTTCAACAGCAGCAAGTGTTTGGCAGTTATATTAATGAATAATAAAGCAGCAGCATATGCGTTTTCAAATGAACTCCATTTTCTATCTACAAGAATAAAATATCAAATCAGTGCTGTGAAATATGTGATTGCCGAGGTTTCGTTAACTGAGTACCTTCTTCAGGGCAAGAAGATTCACTTCTGCCTTGAGAACTGAATCTGCTTGCCCTGAAGAAGGTACTCAGTCACCGAAAGCTCGGCAATCACGTATTTCAGAGCACTGATTTTATGTTCTTGTCGATATTCTGATCACGGTGCTATGCAGCCCTTCCATATTCCATTTTCTATCTATCTCGATCTCAGCCATCAATTTATTGAACTCACGCCTTCGACAACCCACAGTCATTAGTGCTTCCTCATTCTTCCCTGTTCCTGTAATTAACTAATTATTGATTATCTCTGTACTGAACTGGTTGTTAAAATAAATGCAGCAAACGTTATTACTTGAAATTCTGTTTCTTAATAAAAGTGCAAATCATTTTTTATCGTCAAGCAGCAGTAAAATCCACTCATGAAACAATAACATTTCAGCAAAGGCGTAATAGTGAAAATAGGTTTAATACAAATATAATATACAGGTATAAAGCAGTCAACAAGTATAAACTTTACGAAGCAAGTCATAATCTGTTAGGATTTGAAACTCAGGAAGTCTTGTGGGATTTCACTGAAGCGACAGAGGAACTTGAAGTTATGTACCGACATTTCTCCTCAACTCTTGGGCCCTATTATTTGGTTGTGTGTTGGCTTTCCTTCAGACGATGCTTTCAAATTCGAGCATATGACCGATTTGGTTCTGAAATTGGAGACTCGTTACATCCTCTGAAAAAAATCCAGCCTTCAACCAACCGCGAGTTGTTCTTCTTTTTACCTTTGTTCAGTTTTTCAACTTGGGCGTCAAATACTGTACATGTACTGTACTTGTCAGGGGAAAAATCAGGGCGGCCTTGTCGTCTTTGACACACGGCACACGGGCCTTGTGCGTCATCGTCCTTGGAAGCCACAGGCAAGGCGCGCTGTGGGTTCATGCGCCCCCGTCATGATGTGAACATGAAGCTATGTTGTGACTTAGTTGTTGACTTAGGCCTAGATGTTTGTTGTCCATTCGTTCGAGGTACTTCTGTCCTCGCTTCAATCTTGGAAGCTCTGCCATCACTGGGGAAAGAAAGGTTACAAAGAGAGTTCTTACGTTTGAAATGCACATACTTCCTTGGTTTTTAGACGCGAGCAGAAAAGCTAGACTCCGTTGTATTGCTCACCGAAAGGATAAAACTTAAAGTACCGCACCTCAGTATAAAATAGAACAGAGAAGAATAGAAAAGTTATGGTCAGTGAACTGATGACCTCTTGATAAAAGCAAAATATTTCAACAAATCGATTTTGAGTGTTCTTTTTATCCAATAAACTAACCTGAGAAACGATAGGACCTTGCAAATAGCTGGTTTTGCTGTTGGTTGCATAGTTGTATGTATTTAAATGATAATACACCTGTCTGCATTTTAAGGGAAGTGTCAAGTTCGCCTACCTTACCTTAGCAAATCGTGTAATATTTGTACTGTTTGACGGGATGATTCTTGAACTTCTCAAATCTCATGTCACAGGTGCATGTCAAACCGTTGGCTGGGTGTATGCAAGCTACCGATAAAACAATAGATTTATCGAAATGATAATTATAAATGCCATCTCATAAGACATAATACGAATACCATAAATCAGCGGTTCATTGATCTTTTCAATCCTTTTTTCATCGTTTCTTTATATTTTCCTCATTTTCGATTTTAGAATGCCACGAAATTCGAAAGGTTAGTTTCACGCTTTTCGAAAGGTTAGTTTCACGCTTAGCGCACTCAGACTTTGCTTGTTATTTTTGTGACCCATTTTTCGAAGCAGAATTGACGTGAAGTACTTCAAAAGGCTCTCTGAAATTTCGACAATAAGTGATCTCCTAAAATTGTTGCGTTTGTCTAGTTTCTCACAAATTTTTCGACTTGTTGGTAAACTTACCGGTATATTGCGGTGGTCCTTTGTTTTTTCTTCCCTTTCTCCTCCCTTTTCCTTTCCCACGTCCTTTCTTCCCTCGTCGACCCTTTCTCCTGCCCGTGTCTCCCGTCTCTCCCTCGGTGTTGACTGATCTCGTCGCCAGGAGTGCCTCGGTCAAACTCCGCCTCTCAACTCGGTGCTGGAGGTCCGTGTCGGCGGTGTCCACGTCATGGGCCTCTGTCAATGTTACCATGGCAACCAGGACACAGAACGCAAAGAGCGAGAGGTAGAGAAGTGTACGTGAAGCCATGCTATCTTTTGCAGCTCCTGTCAGCGAGAGAAAAAAAATCGAAAATATTTCTGCTAAAGTTTTTCCTTCCTTTCCCTTTTCCCGCGCGGATATCCGGAGTTCACAGAACATGCGTATGACCAAAGAAAAATCCGAGATCAGAGAAAGCCCCCATCCATTCGTGTTTGTGCCTTCGTTGTGTCCCCCAAAAATCGTTCACAGAAACTTCTTGCGTTACATACAGCGCATTGCCACGAGTAACGTGTCACGTCAGTTGTATACAATTCATAAAATGAAATTCGTTTCACAGCGTTAGCAAGCTTAATTGTTTTTAAGAGTTGATTTACAGCCAAGCAAACTTAGAGAACTCTAATATGAATCCTCACTTCACCAAAGAAAATCTGAAATGTGACAAAAATAAAAATGCACAAAGTACAGTCGTGCAGAAAAAAAAGTAAGCAGCCTTACCGTACAGTACTAACATATGAAGTTCTTTGGGTGCATAGGTTTGCTGAAGATTGTGCTCTCAGCCGGTGCGTACCCACCAACTTTATAAGAAAAACGATTGGCCGTGACCCGCCGCGCCCAGGCCCACGCACCTTATTAGGCTACTTGACGTCGCTCTGATTGGAGAACGTGTCATGCTCGTTAGACCGAGGGACCAATCACAGCGCGTTGAAGGTTGTGACGTATTTCGAGGATGAGGCCTTGGTCGTGGGCCAAGCCCAGAGGACGCGGTCAAGCTGTGAGGGTCACTTTTACGGTCGAGCAAGTTTGGATCTAAAATGTTTGTAATGGTCGAAAAACGGAAGTGCCTGAAGGTTCCCCCGAATCTGGGAAACCTAGTTTTCAAAGGGCTTCTTGGAAATAGTTTTGAGTGCCACTCAAACACACTCGCCCTCACTGTCTCCTTTGAAAAGAAGAAAAAAACGACTTCATACATCGGTTGACAAGCAATGGTCAGCGCAACTTCGACATCACTGCCTCTTGCCAAATAGTTCGTCAGAAACTTTGACGAAACCCTTTCCGTTGGATGGCAAGTATTAAAACATTCCAAAGCTTCAGTGTAACTTTAAGTACGGTCCATGTTCTGGGAAGGAGAACATATTTTCTAGGCAGGACTACTCGTTGCACTTGGATCATCGTTTCAACAGTTCGGTGATGGGTCCCAAAACTCTGGACCGGGCTTAAACTTTAAGTGAAAGTGTATAGCTCGAGAAGAGACCCCCTTGCCCTCATTATACCAAGTTACACTATAGCACTGTCACACCAGTTTTTTTAACAAGTCGTTTTTCAATTGAATTAATGCTAAAGGTATGATGGGAAAGGTTTCTAGGCATTTGGTGGTACACCTGTTTTATTTCTTATAGGAATGGACACTCAGGTTATATTGGCGTAGCCTGATTGCCGGACAGATGTCGTCGCTGAATAATTCCCTGTAGTGCCGTAAAGGTTTTCACCGTAATAACGCGTAAACCGCATTACCACGCAGTTGATGCTTTCCAGATGGAACTGAGGGGCGAAAACCTTTCGGACGGTTGTGAAGTTAGCTCGCTTGCATCGCAGTTTCTGTACAAACAGGGTCAAAGTTTTAAGACTGCATTCGGTCACTTAATAAAAATCCATTCTTGCAACAATTGACGTATAATAGAACACTACAGAAAAATAGATTGGATTGACGTGGGAAAGGTCGGTTATTTGGGAAGTATCTTTGTGAACTTCGGTGCAGTTGACCCCGTCTGGGTCAAGGGGTAGGTGCATATTAATTTTTGCTGCCACAGTTTGTTAACTTTCCCCAATGATTGTTTTTGATCAACGGGGCAAACGCTCCCATTCATGGGTCCAGTTTTCAACTAAAATGGGACAAGGCCGACTGAGCTACTTGGAGGAATGTAGTTTTTACTGTTCAAAACCTAGTGGATAAAAAGCTTTGATTTTTCCACCCCGGTCTGATGAGATCGCATCAATTATTATACTTGTGCAGGGAGACTAGAATTTCGACTTGTAGTCTCAACTTGACCTCGGTGTGTTGTTGATGCCAAAGCCGGGCCAATACTTTTGAAATCACTTTGTATCGTTTAAATGATTGAAAAGGATTTGTTCGCCGAAAATTAACTCGATCTGCGATCCTGGAGATTTTGTGGACAGGGACGAAGATTATTGGCTTTAATACGCTTGCCCGACTTCGAGGATATCGTTGGTCACAGAGGGATTACTCTTGTTCCGGCCGCAACGATGGACACAGTGACCCTATCATTGATGAGGTCACCAGGCCGGTGACTGTGACAGGCCGGTATGGTCAGAGTTGGAGAGGTTATGGTCTTCCAGATAGAGAGCTGCTTTTCTTTCTTTCGTTAGTACCATTAAGACTACCTTAAAATCTTACCCATGCTGATCCCTTGTAGCGGCCCCTGTTACGGGCGATATGAGCCCCCTTTAAACGCTGTACGGCAACCGTACGTGACCGTTGAATACGCGGCCCTATGCGGGTCATCTCGACTTCGGTTTCCTTGAAGTTCAGGTACGTGCGTGGCGCCATCTGTCAAACAACACCTTTTTAGTTCAGTCTTCTTTTGGGAATTTAAGAATTCATCCGAATAGTTTGTGGAAGTGCAGTGCAAAAACAAGCTTTTATTTCCTCTTTCCTCAAACCGCAAAATGAACGAGGAACGTGGTTAATGATGAAAGCAGGTGGGGATGGCATGACACCGTTGCTTCGAGTTGGGGGAACACCATTTTCAAACAATTGTTCAACTGTAGTTCAACTCAACACTGAACACTTAGGCTACCTGGGTTAAATTTTAACCCAATGGAGGGTAAAAACTGCAACTGCAATAGCTTAGGTTGTTTCAACCCAATGTGGGTGATTGAAATTACTTACTGGTTTGTTTTAACCACATAGTGGTTAATATCCATTCAATGTGTGGATGGAAAATAAAACAGAAAGTGATTCTCGTCCCAAAATTGGGTGAACACAGCCCATATTGCAGTAAGTTCACCCCTCCTTGGGTTGCAATTTAACCCAGGCAATTTTTCAGTGAAGGGAGATGCTTGGAATGTATTTTCATAATATCGTTTGGGAGCGTTTTTATTTGTTTTTCAGCTGAACTGGTTATCTGATCTTTACCAATTTCGTCGACAGGAAATCAAGCTAAATTGGAGACGAGAACGGAAGTCTGTTAAATCCACCCAGTGAGGTGTATCACGCGGGGCCACGCCCCTCCCAGCTCTTTGCAGACGCGGTTCTAGTTCCTTTTGGGGGAGAGGCGGCCTTGGTCCCTTCCTACGTGACGTCACCTCTTAACTTTCGCTACTGTTTTTCATTTTTGCAACTAGCACCCCCCCAACCGTACCTGGCTCTATGTGTAATTTGTAGTTTCTTCTAGTAGCAATTTGTCCTCTTTGTAGTAATTTGTCGTAGTTTCAAAGATAAACTCTATCCAGTCCACGGAACTTAAGCCCCCCCCCCGCAAAGTGGAATAAATCTAAATGTAACTGCCATGATGCCCGGAGATAACGCTGACCACCTCTGTGAATAACCACTTCTTTGCTTGGAATTTTCATTCTTTGGAGTTACTTCGCTGGTGATGCAAATCCTAACGAACAATCCCTATTTTCATATCATATTAGGCGTACCACCTTCCTTCCGATCATCGGTCCCCAGAAAAGATGATATCATCATGGTCACGAACCAATGCAAGGTTAAAGATAGCACCTTGAAGGAAAACATGCTTTCTCTGATTTTATCTGTTCAAATAAATCTGGAAGCATCCAAATCGAACGCAGTGTCATTTGTCTTCAGAGCTCAACTGTAACACGCTTAAAAGGGCTTTTTTCTGTTCATGCCAAGATGAGAATTCTGAATGTAGAATATGTCATATTTATTTGAACAGATAAAATCAGAGAAAACATGTTTTCTCTACAGGTGCTCTTGAAAAGGCTCTCGCTGGAGATAAACCGCATTTATAAAATTTATACTTTCACTTGTACACTTATAAGCACTGCCTGTGTATACAGCGTCCACTTCGGCAGGTGCACCATGGACGTGATTTATTGAAAATGTTAAAGGTTTTGCAAGTGCAGCCGGGCTCATCAATGATCGTGACGTGTTTAAGAGCGAATAACGGTCTTGCTCATTTTACGCGTTTAGCCCTCAATAATTAATCAAGTATATAAAAGGAACTTCAGGATTCCAATATCGAGGGATGTTGATGTCTTCTTTATAGATGACTAATAGATCACTATTCGTGAATATTGGTCTTCTAATAAAAACATAAAACCTCCTTGATTAACATACAGTTTTAGCTCAGCGATCGACTTAGTGTTTTTGTCTTCCTTGAAACTTCGGCCTACCTTGACCAACACCCATCGAGAGGATTTAGAGGCTGGAATCGTCTGTTAACAAGTTTGACCATCACAAATTGAAAGTGACCGCACAGTTTGGATAAGTTCCTCCAAACGAATATTCCTTGGGGATTATCCAATTTCTTCATTTTGTTACTTGGTCAATCATCGCGTCGTTTATTGTCTTCATGCAGGGGTGCAGGCTTTTCAAAGACGGGCATTTTTCGTTTCTGATGCTCCCCGGCATAGTTCGCAGGCGCTGATGGCCAACACGTCAGTCGGTACGCCGGTTCCTAAAGGGAGTGCAAGTCTTATGAATATAAATTCCCATGACGTTAAGTTGCCTCCTGACCTTTGACCCCCCCCATTTCAACCCACTAGCACTTTCGCCGTAGAACTACAAACAGAACCACAGGGTAAAACGGTGTGATGCAGGCCTTCCCTAGATTCGTTTCGATGAATTTAAGTTGAAAGTGATAATGTCGTCGATAATCAAGTTCCAGCCGAAGCGGACCAGAACTAGTCGGGTCGGGTTCCCAAGGGTCCTGCTTGTGCTCACTACCTGAACTTTGTGAGGGGAAAGAACAGTTCAAGAGTTCGGATGCGAAATAATTTTTCCGCTTTCACCTTTTGAGAAAATTCAGCTTAAAACTCATATAGGGCAAACTACTTGAAACTACTTTGAATGTTTCAATTTAATAAGGAGTTTGAATTGCTTAGGAAAGATAACTAAATTTGGTAGATTTTTCTCAAAACAGTTTAATACACTTACAATAGACTTTTAAAAATCTGCACTAACTTTTTAGGCCCTGTACGGCCTCATGAAAACGCTCGGGTGTTGATGTTGCAACTGAAGCTTATGTAGAAAAAAACACCTGAAATGTGACGGAGATTAAATCTTCAGTCAAACGTTCAGATATAGATCAAGAAATGTACGAAAAGGTGGGAGGAGGTGGGTGCCATTATGCATAGAAACAAGAAGCCACAAAATAGAAATCACAAGTACATCTGGACTATACCGCTTTTCTTTTTGCTAGCGCCCTCAAGCGCTTCAAACCCACCAATCACTGGTACCCGTGCGAAAGAGGAAAATAGGTGATGTATCAGTACAGTATTAAATAAGGACACCAGCGGAATTTCCGGGACTGTTTCTTTGTACGGCTAGTTCAGAAAATACTCCAAAAGCCATGAAAAACTGAGAAGTTGGCCAACCTTTTCAAGAGCAAACACCTCAGAAGCTTCCTATACATATTTGAGAAGTGCGTATTGTCAAGGGGATTTACTAATATCCGTGTAAGTGTTTGAATGAAGCCTGTGAATTTACCATGCCTATTCGGGCCTGAACCGGCGTGAACATTCATGTTGAAATCACGCCTTGCTGTGTGGCCCAGCACGCATTGCAGGCATAGGCCTAATAAACATCAATGATCGTAATCGCATTCGAACAAATGAAGGCAAGAATATACATTACATGTAGCCCAGGTTGGACGACGTCTACATTGCATTGTGACTAACGTCCAGGGTATAAAAGCTCTCCTTACTATGCAAAATTTTTTAAACAGTTTTTCTCACATTTTTTTACCTGGTGAAGACGGCTCAAAATGTCATTCACAAGTGCCTTGTACTTTGTAGACCCTCCTCCCAATTCCATAAATGCTGTGTTGAAATTACTAAATACGCCCGCGAACAACGTATTTTGCAGGAAAGTCTGGGAAACTCTGTGCTTTCCATCGCGATTCGCAATCTACATACATGTACATAGACGTTCGTCTAGCACGTGTACTCACACATGCGTGAAATGCATCATAACTGAGTGCCCCTTACGCATGCGCGGAAGAGCCGTGGGCGTGATGAAGTCACAGGTAAGGCCGTGTCCGAACGGGCTTCCAAAGATACAGCTAGGCTATTGTCTGCTCTAGACAACATGCATAACTGACAGAATGTGGGCGCGGACCGAGCTTGGAGGTCTTTTCTTGCATGCGTTAATGAATCGCGGCGGAGAGTGTGGAGTTCTGCAGAATCTCCTGCAAAATACGTTGTTCGTAGGCGTATTTAGTAATTTCAACTCAGCATTTATGGAATTCAGGATACAACTTACAAGGCTTTTGTGAACGACATTTTGAGCTGTTTGCGTCGGGTAAAAATGTGAGAAAAAAATTTCGCATGGTAGGAGGACTTTCATACCCTGGACATTAGTCGCAATGCAATGTAGACGTCGTCATATCTGGGCTACATGACATGTACGTGTACAGATTTGAAATACAGGCTCAATTGCAGAATACCCTGCTACCGGTACATATTTTGTCAAAATATGTAAAAATTGAAAATTTTATAAAGAACGGACAACTTCAAAGCTATTGAATCATACGTGAAATGAAAGTGGAACTTGACATGACTCCCAAGAAGGGAACCCAGGTTGTTATGTGCTCGGCTCACTACACTGCATCATGCGAATTGATGCTACATGTACATTGTGTTTGCCACGATTAAAAAGTTTCGTTTTTTTTTTAGCAGACCCAGTGGCATGTCTGTTGAATCATACTGAAGAATGAGTTGAAACGGTGATAGAAAGTACAGTCAACTCTCGGTAATACGAGCTCGAGTTAGACAAGACTCCGGTTTAGATGAGCATATTTGCCAGTCCCGACTTAATTGTGCACATTCGTATAAGGGAAAAAAATTTGTAATACAATCTCGGACGTTACGAGATTTCGGTTAAGACAAGCATTTTTTGTGCACTGGCCGAGTGCAAATCTATTGTTATCTGTCTATTTAGCACAAGCTTTTTTGAAGGCAACTTGTCAATCAGCCAGTCCATTCAATTTTGAAAGTTGCTAATTTATGCATGTACAGGAGAACAGTGCTGCAGTTTTCCCTCACCGAATCAAGCCGTTTGTGTTCGGTGCTGCAAGTGAGACGAACAATAAGCGTTTGCGGTTCCCGTACCCAAAGTAGAAATTCTGTGTGGTGGCTCTGGTACCACCTGAACGCAAGTGAGTGCTGCCAAAAGTGCTACAGTGTTTAGGACAGTGGTGAACAAAAGAAATCTTTTGTTTGATTCCCCTGCCCCCCAAAAATTCCCCAAGCCCGAAGTCCCCCTGCCAGGAAACTAATAAAAATTGTGTTCCGTAACCAAAGAGCCGGCCAAAAAACCGCCTACCCTCCGTCTGAAAATCATTACCCGCTCCGCACCGTAACATAAAATTATCACCCCTTCCGATTTCGACATTTCTATAAATTCTCAATCGAAGAAAATCATGAGTAAACCGTGGTTTTCAGTCAAAAAATGTTTAAGAAAATAACAATCACAAGTTTTGAAGAAAAAAGTGTATCCCTCGCTAATAAATTTTCACCAAACCCACATGCCTTTCCAAAGTAAAGTCCAATATTTGCCCTCTGCTGTCCACACCACCAATAGCTGGTTCCTCACATTTTTATGTGCTACAAGCACAGCTGTGGTGTTGGTTACCAACTAAAATGTTAATGTACTTACATTACGTGCGTGCATGTGGATCTCATCACGGCGTGCGGGGCCCAGGACGTGTCTCTCAGAATCGACGTGACTGGTGGAAATTCCGCTTCCTCCATTCTTACATTTTGTAATTATTCTTTATTTCAAGTCTTTATTCGTTAAACTGTATCTCACTTCCATAAACAAACTTTTAAAAATCAAATTCATGTAACAAAAGGGCACTATGTGGCTTTAAACAAAAAGTAATGCACACTTGTTGTTGTGCACCTGTACCCTTTACTTACGGTCCATTGGTGATACATATGTCAAGCAGGACGGCAGCTTTCGTGTAAGTCTGGATAATACGAGCTAATTTAGTAAGTCCCAAGGCCGTCGTATTAACGAGAGTCAACTGTACACTAGGTATACACACATACATGTAGTGAAACACAATAAACCAATCATGGGCAAGTGCATGCATAAAGATCAATTTTTAAGCCGGTAACGTGTTTGTTCTAGGCGGTTCTTTTCGCACCTTGGCAGCATTCTGAGATATGTGTAAGTCAACCCCATGATTTATGCTGCTTGTTCACTGGGGTTAGGCTGTGTCTAAGTAAGCAGTTCACGGTTAACATGTCGTACGCCATCTTGTCAATGGGGCAAAAGAACACAAATTGCTAGATGTGAGTGCATAATCATCATGACTTGCAAGCACAACAGTTTTCGACTGATGTACGTGCTTAGCAACAGGTGTTCTTTTGGCTATGGATACAAGATGGGGCATAACACTGTGAAACTGGCTGCCATAGTCTCTTGCATACAATGTATGCAAGAGACTATGGCAATCAGTTCCTTTAGAGTCGTGTGTTACATGTATGTCTGGCTGCCGCCAACTGATTCTTTGAGCGGTCTTTGAGTCAAGCATCTTTAAACGGCTCTCAATATTTGGGACCACTGTGTTAATGAAATTAAAATTGTAAACCTTAGTAGAACTGTTGGCATAACATGCGTCTGAGAAAAAAACCCAGAAAATTCTTCCTGGAAATCCTACAAATATGACCAGCCTTAGTTTGATGAGTTACATGTACAGTGGCTAATGTCAGGTACAAATTTTCATGGAATGAACAATCTGCCTTACACCTAAAAATATTATGTTAACTTGAACAACATTTAGGTTGTTACCTGCATGCATTGCCTCCAGGCACTGACCTTTTTGTAGATTTCTCATGTCACCAGTTTCAGTGGTTTGCTTTGCCATCTCTCTGATACAGTTTATTTGGTTCTTTCTATCAGATTAAGAAGTCAAGAGTCAATATGAAGTTGCCTCCCACTAAACTTGTCTTGACCTGCTCCGGCAATATTGCTGATGAAGACCTTAAGGAGAGATTACTCAAGATAAAGGCTACATTGGAGGATCTCTCACAAATAAGTGAGTTCTTAAAGGACCAGGTTTGATTACTTTTTTCACACCTTTCATCTCAACTTTGGGAGGCGAAATTAATGTGCAGTTTGGCTGCACTAAAACTGGAAATTGCTGACGTGACTAGTTTTGCTGGCCAGCTCTCTGAATGTCCCACAAAACATCACCATGCTATTCATCTGTGACTGTTTTGAGTTTAGGCAAAGTGGTGACGTACATGTAGAGGCTGGCCCAACAGCAGTGGTCAGATATGCCATCCAAAATGCATCGCCAGACTGTACACACTTGATGAATGTGTTGAGTTTAGGACTCAAGTATAGACAACTGCTCGCTCTGTTTACTTAAAAAATAATGAGTGTACTTACATTTATAAGTTCGACTTCGTTTTGAGAATTAAAACCATTGTGTTTGAGGATTGATTTTTAACTGATTTAGGAATTGGTCACTGTGGATACATTGCCAAATGAATTTTAAAAAATTAAGAATACATGTACAGTACAATACCAGTGCATTTGTCACATAATTTGACATCCCACCGAAAGACCATTGGTGAAAAGGCCAAAGGATTAAACACAGACTTATGGACAACAGCATATTAATGTAAGTCCATGAAAAGATTAAGGATAATATGAGTTTTCTGTGTCATTTCCTATTCTTTGAAAAAAGGTTTTAAGTTACTTATGTACGAAAGCAGTTTTCTGAGCCATAAGTTGACAATTTTAATTTGTTTTCTGCCTTACAGAAGAGCACTCTGTGAACCTGTCTAAAGTTGAGCCATGGAATAGTGTCCGTGTAACCTTCAACATCCCACAAGAAGCTGCTGCTCGCCTCCGTGAACTTGCTCAGCGAGGTGACCCTAACTTGCACAAGCTTGGCATTCTGACCATTCAGGTTGAGAATGGAGAGACAATCTCACTGCCCCCGCCCCCGCCTGAGGCACAACGAAGCCTGTTCTCGCCGCCGCCACCGACTCCATCGGGCACACCCCAGCTACCGCCTGGCCCCCCTCTTGTGCCCCCATCACCTACCCCCGTTTCCTCGCCAGTCATTCCTGTGTCGACTCCCACGCCAGGAACAATGGTCCCTGGGCATGGACTTCCGGGATCGGTGACAGCCCCTAACTTTGCTGTGCCTGGAGTTTCTCTCCAGCAGCTCACCAGACCCTCCCTCCAGGGACTACAAGCCCAAGGAGCAGCCCCCCTCTTCTCTCAGCAGGGAACTGGCAACCTCTGGAATTCCATGGGCGTATCCCAACAGCGCCCCCTTCAACCTCCAGCCAGTTTCTGGAACCAGATCCCACAGTTTTTCCCACAGGTCGGTGTAACTCAAGCAAATCAGCCACCACAAGTCATGCCAAGTGGCCCCCAAATTCCTCCTGTGTCACAGCCCAAGCCTCAGCCAAAAAAGAGGCGTAAGAGAACCAAGAAGTCAAACATTCAACCCCCTGAGCTGGCTGTAGCTGCAGGCCAGCCTTTACTACCACTTCCTCCTCAATTGCCGCCACTGCCGACTTCAAATACAAACACCCAGGATAATGCAGACAACTTGAGCACAAACAAACCATCAAATCTGACTCTACCACCAAGTCTTATCGACAATCCCATAAGTCCAAACACACCACCATCCACAGCTATGTCTACAAATGTCAGTACGACTGCACCAGTAGTTGCCTCATCTGCTTCATCAGGAACACAGTTCTCCTTCACAGACGTCCCAATGTCAAGAGGACTTGTGCCAAGCCCACAGACACAACAGCAGCAGCAGTTGCAGCAACAGCTCTTGCAGAAAAAGACAGATGTTGCTCTGACAAGCCCTCTGCTGGTCAATCTTCTTCAAAGTGATATTTCCGCCAAGCAGTTCCCTTTCTCAAACTCGTCAGGGAGCAAAACTACATCTACTGGGACTGACACTCCTACAACAGCACAGCCAGGGCCTCCAAGCCAAGACACAGTTATAGCATCTTCAGCACCCGGTATTAATACTAGTTCACCATTTATGATAGGCAATGGTATCGGGACTCTTACAGCTTCAAACTCTGCCATTCCAAATATATCTCCATTTGTAACATCGCAGGGAAATGTGCCAGGTTTCATATCAACAGCAGGCCAGATTATCCCACCAAACACTCTGTTGCCAGCTCAATCAGGACAGCTGTCACAAGAGCAGCTGCAGTTTCAACTCAGTCAGTTGTCTGCTGCGCAACTTTCACAAGTACAGGCACAGCATGCTCAGTCCTTCCCTAGCCACTTGCCACAGACCCCAGTGGTGCCAGGTCAGAATCAGGTGCCTCCCAGTAACATGCAGTCCTTTCAAATGCCTGGTGGTCATCAACTGCAAGGCCAACTTTTCCCAGGACCCATGCCTCCTACTCAACTGCCCAATGCCAGGATGTCTGTTGGACCTATTGCAACTCCAGATCCCATGTCACAGAGTCAGATGAGACTTGGCGGGCCCATGTATATGGGGCACATACCTCGTGCTCCTATGCCATCAGATCGGACCCAGGTATCACCCAGTGACTCATCAGCGAGTCAGAGTAAAGGACAGCTACTTGTACACCCTGTGGGGCAGCTTCATCCTACATCTGCTCCCTTCACTTCAACAAGCAGTACCCCAGTACCTCCCCCAGTCAATCCCCTGGATACCTGGAATGCTGCTCCTTGTCCATCAGTTGTCAAAGAAAAGCAAGAATTACACGTGGATCCTCAGGCAAAGAAGGTCGAGCAGCCAGGAGTTTCAGATGCTGGCGCATCACAGCCTAAGTCGAACCTGGAAAAGAATGGAGAGGATTCCAAGAAATCCACTGTCCCTGAACCAGCTGAAGAGGATGGTCATGTGTTTGATGAAGAGGCTGCACTTCTTGGAATGACAGAAGCTGAGAGAGCCACGATGGCAGTTGCAGCTATTATTGCTAAGGAAGCTAAGATGGCAGCTGACGCTAAAAGTGGAAAAGCCCAGCAAAGCAAGGAGACACCACCTCCTAAATCTGAGCCACAACTATCTCCAATCACATCCACTCCAGCTAGCACTGTAGCATCCAGTGATGGAATTCCTGCAATTTCTCATCAACAGCCCACTTCAACTCCCAATGTCCCATCAACAAGAACTTTCCAAGAAACTCAGTTTAGTCGACCAACTTCAAGAGGTGGGCCATCAGTTCCACCTGTTGCTGAAAGGAGATCAGCAAACTCACCCATTCGCTTGTCTCCCCCTAAGATACCAGAGGGTTTGAAGCAGAGACGCACCCCTCCATCGTCAACCTCCAGACCAGTGCACACCCAGCAGCAGCCACAATATGGGCCCATTCCGGGTAGCTCTCCATCCTCTATGTCCTCAGGGATTGCAGGGTTACAGACCCTAACGTCTAGGACATTCTCTGCTGCTGGACAGCCCTCAATCCGGGACATGGCATTAAGTAGAAACACAGAGCACAACACTCTTAGTCAGTTTCTAAGCAGTGTAACCCCTCCCACTGAAATTCTTCAGATGGCACCATTGTTCCGTAGCAACAAGCAGCAGGAGGTACCTCCTAAATCAACTCAAGGATTTCTGTCAGGCCCTACAGCTGTCTCCACTGACTGGCTTTCACTGCCCTCAGTTGATACTCCGAAGCCTCTTCCTCTTCCTGCTCAAATTGGTGCACGGACTCCAATGCAGCCTGCAGAGTTCAGCGCAGCCACTGAAAGAATGCTTGGCAGCATGCTAGACACACAGAAACCAAGTATTGGTAACATTGAGCGACCTCCAAATCAACCCAGAGTGATCACAACCGAGGGTATCAACTTCATGCACAAATTGGTTGGTAGGGCTCCTCCATCGAATCCCCAGAGTCAGCCTCCACAAAAGGATGCTCCAGCAGCGAAAAGTAACTCTGATGATCAGACCATCTTCAGTGATCAAACCAAAAAGGAAGACAAATCTCAACTCAAGGCACTACTGAATGAGATTGTCATCCCAGAGAAAGGCTCTTTTGAGAAACAGCTCCTGTCAGTTGACTCAAAGGCTGAAAAGCCCCAGGTTACTTTGGCCTCCACTTCAAGCGACTCACTTAGACAGTCTAGCACTTTTTCTCCAACCACATCTCATCAAATGGACTCTTGGCTTGGACTTAACAATCAAGCAGTGTCACTAGCTCAGGGTGCTTCAAGGAAGCCTGATAGTGTATCCCTAGCAGGTGGCATCACTACCTTATATATTCCTCCACCAGTGATGGGACAACAGCAGCAGTTGACTACCCAATCATTGCCAGCAGTACAGCAAGCTGCTGTAAGCTCTGCCACTGCAACAGCATCATCTTCACTGGAGGCTTCTCATCATGGAAGTGTGTCGTTGCTCTCAGGCCTAGGAGTAGAAGGTCATAAGGGCCAGTCAGACAGTGGTATGAAAAGCTTTGTCCAAACAGCTCCACCCGTGTACCCCAGTCAGCAAATTGGAACTTTGCCTCAGGCCAGAACTTTGCCTCAGGCCGGACCGGCACAAATGGCTGAGAACAGTGTACTAAGATTTCCCCAACAGGGTCTTCTAAGCCAGGCTGCAGAGAATATGGCAAGAGACACACCTACATCCCGACCCCAACATTTCCCACCACAGTCTTTTTCTCCAAGTATGTTGGCAAAGTCACCAGTACCTCACCAGCAACCGCCTTCCCTGCCAGAAACCCCAATGACTGTTTTGGAACGAGCCCCAAAGATTTTGCTATCTCCTGCAACCCTTTCAACAGCTTCAGAAGAATTGATCAAGAGCCTTGGTGCCCATGGTACCATAGCCACCCTTCCACCTGAACCAGAGGCTCCTCCAGCTTCAGAAGCTAGTGGCACAAAGCAAGACAAAGGGTCTGCAGTAGAGCAACCTGCTCAACAATCACAGGAGTTAATTACTCCAAAACCCATCGAAGAAGCAGTCCCTGACTCTGCAACGTCTCAAAGCCCCTTACCACAAGCTCCTGTAAGCAAAGTAAGCACCATCCCCCAGTTAGAGGCTGCAGTGTCCATGCACCAGTCCTGTCACCCTCCAGCTGTGAAACCTGCACCATCAATTACTGCAACACAGTTACAAGCTGAACAGCAGCAAAGTCAGCGCACTGGAGTCCCACCTCAGGTTGCTTCAACAGAAAAAGAACCAGTAGCTTTAACTCCACTGGCCATCCCCACAACTACTTTCACTACAGCACCAGGGACAAATGCATCGGCATCACCAACCATAGCATTTCAGCAAGGGAATGAAATCTCCTATCTGACACAGACCTCAAAGTTGCCTCTTACACAGTTGGTTGGACCATCAAATACCTCCCAGCGAAGTACTGAAAGCCATCCCAAGGCTGACGTTCCAGTCATACAGCCACCATCGATGATCCCCAAGCAAATGACCGTTCAGACTCTACCAGCTTTGCAGGATTCAGTCTCACCAACAGGAGAAATGGAGAGTGTTTCACCATCATCACAAGTGCCAGAACAGTTTCTGCACTCTCAGGTGATGGGATTGAAATCAAATTATCAACCCTATTCAGCCAATAACACAGCAATAGAAAAAACATCAAAATCAAGTCCAGAGAAGTCAAAGCAGCTGAAACTGGATGCATCAAAACCTGATGAGTCAGAGGAAGATGTGGCAACGCAACAGCTGCACAAACTTACGTCTCAACAGCCAAAGACAACGCCTGGACCTGTGGCTAGTTTTGGCTTTCCAACAACACCTCCAGCAACTGCTGCATTACCTGTTAAACCTACAGCGTTCTCATCAGCTTCTAGCACACTGGTACAAGCCCAGTCAATCATGGTCAAAACTGCAGCAATGTCTAGAACCTCTGGTTTCCTGAAGGGGGCAGAGCAAACAGCACGTTCTGCCCGATCAAGAACACCACCCAGGGCATCGCTCACAGCTCTTCCTCCAAACACTTGCAACAATGAATCCCTTGGAAGCGCTAGTGCCTTGCTGAGCTCCATCGCCAAGTCGGCTTGGACTGTCACCACAGCAATGGCATCAGCAGCAAAGGCTAAGGTGGTGCCAACCCCAAAGGCAACTGAGAAGAATCTGACGCGATTGAGAAGATCTCCTGAAACTCTCCCTGTGGCGGGAAAAATGGCAGGTGGGGAGAGGGATAGGGGAGTTCCTGAAGGGCAAGCTCAACAGAGTCGCACACCTCCAGCTTTAGGTGTTGCTAAGCAGGTGCCAAAGATGCCAGCCACTGAATCCTCTCTAGAGGCTTCGCTGCCTTCGCTGAAGAGTCAAGAGGATAGTCCACCCACGAAAAGTGTTGTCAGACAACAGTCATCAAATCTAGCACCAATAGTCTCAATTGAACAAGCAGTGAGCACTGTTGCTTCAGTATTCAGTGCTGCTGTAGGGACACCCTTGGCCAAAGATGCACAGCAAGTGCAATGCAGTAAACCAGGCAGTGAGTCTGCACCTGCCCAACCACTGGCATATTCTCAGATATCAAGCTCGCCATCAGCTTCTGGCTTGTCATCAGCTCCTCTTGTGCATCCACTGGAAGTTGCATCATCAACAGCAGTGAAGGATTCATCAGATGGCAAGATCACATCTCCTCTTATTTCTCCACAAGTACAGCAGCTAGTGTTGCAGACAACAGATTCCCACAGTGATGTTCCACATCAATCTAAGACATTTCATGGTGTGCCATCTGTAGAGGAAATGCAGAAACCAAAAACTGGGGAGGAGACTAGTTCAAGAGGTGACCAAATAGTCCCGTCACAATGTGATTCAAATATTTTTATGTCAGTAGCTCCGCAAGGCTCTGATAACAAGACACCTCCTCAACATACTACCCCAGACATGGACTCAGTCCCCACATCAACAACTGTTTCTGTTCCCATGGTTTCTAGTCACACATCTGTTGGGGAAGCATTAATGTCACCCGCAGTAGAGACTATGCCCCAGAGTTCCCTGAATCTCCTCGATAAAGTGCCGGTGAAATCAACCAGTCAACATCGAGAAGCAACCATCACGTCTATGAGTCTTGGTAGCACATTCATGTGTAGCGCTCACCAAGTTCCTGTGATTTCATCTCTGTCAGGGATGGAACCTGCCCTTGCAGTCTCAATGGATACTGGCATAAGAAACACACAACCACCACTTACTGAATCTCGTAAACAGACTCACACCAGAGCAGTAGAGGAACCCCCTGCCAAACTGCCAAAGGAAAGTTTAGCCCCAGGAATAAAGATACAGGAAACACAACCCAATCAGCAAGACATGGAGGTAAAATCGGAGCCATCATCACTGGCAAAAACCAGTATTGCCTTACCTAGCCAAGATAAGAACAGTATTGGGCAAGATGCCCTGCAAGGAGCACAACCTCCCTCAGTAACTGTAGACATTTCAGGTGCAACAGAGCAACTTGGACAATCAGAAGATAAGCAGGAAGTCTTACCATCAGACACTCAGCTTCCTCCAAGAGAAGTTCCCAGTACTCCTGAAGTGACAAGAAAGATTTCTCAACCTCTGCAGTCTGAGAGAATTCCAGAGGCTGTGCTACAGTGTGTATCTCAGACCAGTCTCGTCCAAACTTCCACAGAATCTCTCACAGAGAGCCTAACCATCAAGTCGGACAGCTCTCCAGAGCCTTCACTCTTAAGCAAACCTGATCAGATCACAAACCTTGTGGAGGAGGCCATTCAGGTGGACCCAGATAAGGGCAGTCTGTTCGAGAAGACTTCATCGCCTGGTGTTACTGCTGAAGCAACAAGCTGTCACCCTGGGCAAAAGAATCTAGCGCTCACAGCAGATGAGGGTGTTGAACCCTTACCCAGCCAGCTGAAGAAAACAGAAATGTTGGGGAAACCCCACGACAAGGAGCTGAGCAAAGATGGGGCGATCCGAACCGGGAAGGTGGAAGGTGACTTAGGTGACTTGGAGCCTCGGAGGACAAGACACACTTCGGAGGAAATTCCTGGTATGTCCACAAGGAGTCTGCGGAGTGGAAGGAGGTCCCCAGCAGAGCCTGTGACCAAAGGAAAGGAGGAGGAGTCTTCTCCAACAACCAGAGGAAGAGGGCAGAAAGAAAAGGAGATTCCTGGCGAGTCAGAAGCTGATGCTTTATCAAGAAAGAGGAGTACACGTTCCTCAGGAAGGGGTGAGACAAAAGGTCTTTAACTTCCCTTTTAAATGCCTAAACGATAAGTTCAGATAAGGACTGTCTTGTAGAGAGGAAGTATCACATTGCATTTGTTAAGAACATGGTTCATGTTTGTCATAGTTTCATTTTCTTGACCAAAGCTCGAGTTACACTTTCATCTCCCTCACCTGTACTGACCAGGATCTTTTTTTATTCTAATTCTTGTTCTTTTATTTTTAGATATGTATTATGGGCCGATCCCACAATATAAAAGACGCAAGACGAACCAGAAGTAGACAAGACTCCAACTTTAGTTTCATTCCCACAGCCATGCGGTTGGTAGGCTGAATTGATGTTGCAGCATTTTTGGGGTGTGACTTGTTTCTGAATTATTTATTTGTCATCTTTTAGCACTTATTCAAATCTTGCAGCTTTTGTCACTTTACAAAAGTAAAGTGCATGCAGACAGTTAAAACAGATGAAAAATTGGCTTTAATAGCTAAACCATGAGGGCAATACGTCAGTGACAAATTTTTTCAGAATAGGAGAGAACCTCACTTGTGAAAGGGACTTCTACAACCACACCTCTGTCTATTGCTGGCATGTGCTTAGGTACTTACAACCGCTTAACGACCAGGACTTTGCTTTAGATTGAAGATTTTGAAGATCTTGCCCCTGAGCAGAAAAGACCATGCTTCCTAACGCCAAAGAGTAAGAACTGGGTACCAGCCGAATTTCAAAGTGACTCAGAACTTTTTCTTGAATGATCCCCGAGTTTCAATTGTGTTCATTTTTTTTGTCATGCAGATTGACATGGTTGATCGTGAAAATTATTTTTCAAAGTATGGTTGTACCTGTAATTACAGCAAGGTAGTCTTGCTCCTTCCCAGTATGACAGCGTTCAGAGTGGATTCGGGAAACACAATCCAAAATGGCCACCTTGTAAATAAAGCTCACTGAGATAATTCCACTCTGTATGGAAGCCACACGAGGGCGCTGTTGACTGGAATTTATTGACATTGTTCAAATGGAAATGCAAAGTGTAGATACACGTGTATATACATGTACATGTATTATGGTTCATTTGGGATTTTGAATTCCACTGAAATTTTTTCTTTTTTTCTTTTTATGGGAGTATAGGCCATTTTCCTCCATGAAATACTCATTCCTTTTTAAGTCCAATAGCAATTGCGAACTCATCATGTAAATACTTACTGGTATATTTCAAATAGGAAGTTTTGTTTTAGAATAGGAATACTTGTTACATATCAAAAAGGATTGTTTTTAAAAAAGACTGACTGTAGTGTACATTATTTACAAGAGTGAATAAAATTGAAGATAAATGTATGCAACAAAGGGTTTGGAAGTCTATAATTTTATTCACTGAATTATCAAAACTCATGTTCCTGATCAATAATTGATATGTCAAGAACAGTAGACTGGTACAAGATTTGCACATGTAAGGCACAAAATTGATGAATTAAATTCACTTTTAACATTTGGTAAAAGCATTGGTCTGTTTTGGGTTGGCTGCTGAGTATATCCTTTTTGTTTGAAATGTTTTTAAAAAGAAACAATATTTATGGACGAATATATGAAACAGCTGACATTGGAACTTAAGCTGATGTCAGAAAGGTATCAGACTGCTGCCACACATTAAAGTCGGTTACCATCCAACAGATAGCCTCATGGTGGATCACCAAAATTGGGTTATAAATGGCATTAATGAGGAATAGGTCATTATGGTTTAACAGGAAAAACAGGCATTTTAATGCTGCAGTATTTGAAATTTTCACATGCTTTTTCACATGCAATTGGTCATCAAATTGATCTGAAACACATGCGACATACATGTATATACAAATTCATAAAAACAGTTTTTACTGATGTGTTTCATCAGGACACTGATCCACGAAGAACTGTACTGCTGCACCTCTAATTTTTCTCTCTTTTTCTAACATGAATAAAAGTGGTCCAGTGGTTAGGCCTCTGGACTGAGAGGTCCTGGGGTCAAATCCCAACCAGTTCCTTCTTCATACAATTTTTAAGATCCATACTTTTCAATCTGTAAGATAAGTATATGGTCCGAGCATATGTTACTAAGAAAATCAAGTGGTCCAGTGGTTAGGACTCTGAACTCTGGACTAAGAGGTCCTGGGTTCAAATCCCAACAGTTCCTTTTTCATAACATTTTTAAGATCCATACCTTTCAATCTGTAAGATAAGTATATGGTCAGAGCATATGTAACTAAGAAAATCAAGTGGTCCAATGGTTAGGACTCTGAACTCTGGACTGAGAGGTCCTGGGTTCAAATCCCAACTGTTCCTTTTTCATACAATTTTTAAGATCCATACCTTTCAATCTGTAAGATAAGTATATGGTCCGAGCATATGTTACTAAGAAAATCAAGTGGTCCTGTGGTTAGGACTCTGAACTCTGGA